TACTTCTGTAGCCTATAGATGTAAATATTAACATGCTTAAGCAAGTGGCAAAACGTGTCAAACTCAGTTCCTGGAGAGCCACCGCATTGCAGAGTGCTGCAGCCCTCCAGGAACTGAGCTTAACACCTGTGATGTAAACACAGTCTAGTCTGCTTTTCTTACTTAAAAAGTAGGCTATCACAGACATTTTCAATTAAAACTTACCATTGGCAGAAACGTGTCGTGGCTTTTCTTTTGCATTTAGATCCTTATTACAAGTAATCCTGCTGGTCATAAAGAATTTTGGCTTTCTAACTCCACGAGTGCAATCTATGAACGCGTTTTTCTAAAAATGTAGGCTACTTTTCCTTGCTTTAGCTACTCGTATAGCTAAAAATCCATGTGTTGACTCTGAAAAACACTTTAATTGTGAATTTATGGTGTATTTAATACATTTCGTATCAATCCATGTTCATTTTTTTAACCATGAACAATGCACTGTTAATTTAATTCTTAGTCACTTCAACACAACAAAATAGACTCTGTGCGGAAACGATCACTGCGCTGCTGCTACTGCTAAGTGCAAGCATACCATATCTGTGTGGTCACTGTGGTTACATTTGTGCACAGGTTACTTGAATAATAAGTCATGGGGAATTTAGTTTGTAATTGTACTCTGTGGCTTTGAAGTTTAACTGATGTTTTGTTATTTGATGTTATGTTTAATGCAGTAAATATACATTTTCTTTTCTATGTTTTAACTAGAGGTGCAATGATTGCAATTTTCTTTCCAAGAACTATAATTGACCGCATACACAAACAAAAATCTATACTTTTTTTTTTCAATGCAATAAAAAAATAAAAAATAATAATTTAAAATAAATGATTAAACATTATAATTCCCCAAATCTGGACTAGGATTGCAAAATTCCGGGAATTTTCAAGACTGGAAACTTTCCATGGGAATTAATGGGAATATATGGGAATAAACTGGAAATTTGCAAAATTGCAGGAACTAGAAACTTAAATGTAGTTGAGAAAAAAATCTTGCAGCATAATCTTGGGTAAAACAACCAGATTTAATGCAATTTTAGATAAATTGCACGATAAATTGCATGCGATATTTAACGCGCATCTTGTCATTAAAGCCGGTTCTGTAATCAGCGGTAAATCTCCATCACGTGCGGGCTTTCACATGGAGCAGCATTAACTACACAGAGCCGTTGTTCACTGACAAGCTGCGCAAAAC